CCTGCCCTGGTATTTTTTCCAGGCATTTCCTTTCATTTTCAAACACCGGTCCTTTTCCGGGCAGCTGATCAAAAACGCAGGTTCTTCCAGAGAAAACGCCGGGGGGGCCCCACGGGGCAAGAATTAACACGATTAACTTCCACAGCCTGCTATATCAGCCTGTGTCACCAAAACGCAACATCACCTCGGAGCAGACGCGTCTCCCTCGCTCGTGTCTAACAAGCTGGAATGCCTGGTTACTGTTTCACCGAGTTAAGAAAGTGCTCTTAAAAAACACGAGGAAGTGCAACACGGTGCGAGAAGAACAAGGTCGTCTGTCAGCCACACACCGCGGAATGTTAACGACTCACCTTTGTCCGGTTAACAGCTCCGTGGAGTGAAACAACACGGAGCTCTCCTGGTGAAGTGCAGACAGCTGCTCCGAGGCTGCTTAAATAAACTGTCCTTGACCGAGACATGTTACAATGACCTGGGAGTTGGGCTTTTTGTTATTCCTGAACAGCCTGTTCTCCGTAGTGATGCCATTCGGGCAAAAAGAGCAGCCATCGCCGCCTTCACTGTAACACCGCGTTACTGTAGTTTTAGTTATAAGCTAGCTAAACCGGCAGTGTAATAACAATGGGACCCCTTGCTCGCTGCGGCGATTAACGTCCTGACTCCCCAACTGGCTCGAAAAATCAGCTAGCGTTCACGTTAGCTATTCAGCTCTGTTACCCACCACTGGGCTCGCCTTTTACACATCCAGCTGCCTTTCGTGCCAGCTATCAGGCTATCCTAGCTTTGCTTTGGAATAGGGAGATGCCTAGCTGTCTAGCTTCCTAGCTACGACCACCACACATTTCACAACAAAACAGCCGCAATGACAAGTCGCCCACTCCCGAGCACACAAGGCAAAACACTGCGCCTCTTCTTCCAGCGATATAACCCTAACTACGGGGCAGAAAGCGAGCCCCGAAGCCGTTGCTGTGGGGAAAGACGGGTCTCACCTTTGCAGTGGTTTCTGTCGGCAGCCCGCCGTGATGCTACGAGATGGTTTTAAGGCTTGAGACCCCACATTGAGCGTGCGGAGACGTCGTTATGTTGAATATACCAGAGAGATTCTGGGCACAGCGCACGAGCCTCTGTGTTCGCTCTGCCCACTTGCAAGGCGAATAAGCGCTCAGGGGCCGTCCGCGTGTTACCAGTCCGCGGAAAAACGCACATAACCATAAAACTGTATCGCTACTATTAATACTGCTGCTAATAATAATACTACTGCTAATATACTAATAATACTTATACTAATACCATCACCACCGCTACTACTAATAATAATAATAGTAATAATAATAATAATAATTATTATTATTATTATTATTATTATATTACGTATAATACGGAGAAGGATCTATAGTGAACAAAATGTCAATACACATCAATGCTGCTTTTTATCTATCTTTTCTGATAGTGATTAGCACAACAGATGATCAGGCTTCAAAGAAACATGATATGATTTTATACCACAATTATCTTTTTTGTTTGTTTTTAATGACATTTATGACAGGTGGCAATTCCCTTTAAATGTGACTGTTTAACAGAAAGAAGACACCTATATTAAGACGGTCCCTAACTGCATGCTCCTTGCTTTATATACGCTCTGTTACAGAGCAATAAAACTTTGTGTTTGCTGCCATCTGCTGGCTGGTAGAAGCCACAGACTGTTCATATCTGGACTGTAAAGCACTCAGTCATCATTACTGTCAATTGCTGCTCCTTCACGGTCCTTTTTGCACATCTGTCCTGCTGTTACATATACAGTGCATTTTCTCATTCAACCGGGATCATACCTTCGAGCAGATACTGATATCAGAATTCAGGAAATTTAAATTTAAAAAATACTGCAATGCAAATAAATTACACTTTTCACTGACCCATGAAAACAGAGAATTTTGATCTAAAGCTTGCGAGAAAGCTGTATTCATCACCTCCAGAGAAAGGCATTTTCAGCCTGAGTGGAAATAAAGTGGGTGGTTGTGCTGTCGTGGAATATGACGAAATGTATTTCCATAAACAAATCAGAGAAAACCTGTTTTGTGTTTTACTGGGAACGTCAGTGCTGTCAATTGTTCACTGATCTTTTGTATGACTAGACCGCAGCATGCGTGATGAAACAGTTTCCAGTGAAAAACCGCGAGCCCCAAGGTCAGCCTCTGAGAAAATAGATTTAATATTCAAATAAGCAAGACAGACTACACAGTGGCTTGCAATCATCAGAGAGAAGACAAATATAGTAGTTGATCATTTACAGACATATGAAGTTTGGTTTTTTTTCCCAGCAGCTCTACAGAGATGACATGAAAAATTCACATTCCTATCATATTCAAACATGCATAAATTACTGTACAGACATAGAGCCGAAGGCTGAGGTGACTTGATTCTCACTAAGGCACCCGTGATTAAATCCTCTACCATCAGTGTGCATAAAAGAACTAGCTAAATTTGGTTTATTTAGGTGGTTACTGTCATGTATGATCTTTTTATTACAGGCTGATTTCCCAGACTGAGAGCATTGTTGTTTGTTAATTAGAAAAAGAAAGTTATTGTTGAAAACAAGACTGTAACCTATTAAAAAAGGGCTACAGAGTAAGTATTTGCT